TGTTGATCGTGTTGAGTATTGTATGATGAAACTCAACCTGTCAGAAAATGTTATCAAACGACTTATGGACCTTTTCTAAACTGAACAAATAAAGTAAGGGGTTAACCAATGGTAGTTGTAACGATTAATGATCATTTCTAGCTTGTTGACTATCGTTTGATCATATTGAGTACCGTATGACACTTTCCCAAAGCAAATAAACCAGCCCAAGGAGTTAATCAATGGTTGTTTTGGCTGTCGATAGTTGTTTGTTGGCCATCGTCGTATCGCCTCGTCGATTTCGACCAGGTTTGGGGCGATCCCGCGCGCGTGTAATCCGGTCTTCGCGAGTTCCGTCGCGGTTAACGTTAATCTTAATGGATTAATTTCTTAATTGGTTGCCCGGGTATAATTGAAATGTGCCTGGAGGGACGCTGATGAAACTTGGCGAAACTGCGGGGCGCCGGTGCTCCCGGTTCCGGATCGCGGGCCGAGTTCGGAACAATGTTTGCGCGAAGCGTGTCGCCGCCGCACGGAGAAAAGTTCATCGGTAGATACCCGGGAAGCCGTAGTTCCGCTGCCTTTGTTACACTTTCTGCATTCCGCGCGGATTTAAGATAAAGAAAACACGACCGGGCGCTTTGTTCGCGAAAGCGGCACCAAGTTTCCTGATTGCCGCCCCGGCCTCGGTCACGTACGCGCCACGAATACGATTCCGCTCGATACGTTCCAGATTTTCCCTTCTCACTGCCATCATACCACACTCGACACGACCAAACGATAGTCAACGAGCTAGAAATGATCATTACTCGTTACAACTTGCATTGGTTAACTCCTTGTTTGATTTATTTACCTAAAAAATGGTCAACATGTCGGTTGATAACATTTTCTGATAGGTTAAGTTTCATCATACGACACTCAACACGATCATATGATAGTCAACAAGCTAGGAACGGTTATTAATCATTGTAAATGGCATTGGTTAACCCCTTGGCTTGTTTATTTACCTAAAAAATAGTCAATATGTCGTTTGATAGCATTTTCTGATAGGTTAAGTTTCATCATACAATATTCAACACGATTAAACGATAGTCAACAAGCTAGCAACGGTTACTAATCATTGCAACTGGCATTGGTTAACCTCTTGCCTTAAAAAGAGTCAATAATGTCGTATGATGACATTTTCTGATATGCTAAGTTTCATCATACGGCACTCAACACGATCAAATGATAGTCAACAAGCAATAAATGACCCCCTAGGCTTATTTATTTACCTAAAAAATAGTCAATATGTCGTTTGATAGCATTTTCTGATAGGTTAAGTTTCATCATACAATACTCAACACGATTAAACAATAGTCAACAAGCTAGGAATGGTTACTAATCATTGCAACTGGCATTGGTTAACCCCTTGCCTTAAAAAGAGTCAATAATGTCGTATGATGATATTTTCTGATAGTCTAAGTTTCATCATACGGCACTCAACACGATCAAATGATAGTCAACAAGCAATAAATGACCCCCTAGGCTTATTTATTTACCTAAAAAATAGTCAATATGTCGTTTGATAGCATTTTCTGATAGGTTAAGTTTCATCATACAATATTCAACACGATTAAACGATAGTCAACAAGCTAGCAACGGTTACTAATCATTGCAACTGGCATTGGTTAACCCCTTGCCTTAAAAAGAGTCAATAATGTCGTATGATGACATTTTCTGATAGTCTAAGTTTCATCATACGGCACTCAACACGATCAAATGATAGTCAACAAGCAATAAATGACCCCCTAGGCTTATTTATTTACCTAAAAAATAGTCAATATGTCGTTTGATAGCATTTTCTGATAGGTTAAGTTTCATCATACAATGTTCAACACGATTAAACGATAGTCAACAAGCTAGCAACGGTTACTAATCATTGCAACTGGCATTGGTTAACCCCTTGCCTTAAAAAGAGTCAATAATGTCGTATGATGACATTTTCTGATATGCTAAGTTTCATCATACGGCACTCAACACGATCAAATGATAGTCGACAAGCAATAAATGACCCCCTAGGCTTATTTATTTACCTAAAAAATAGTCAATATGTCGTTTGATAGCATTTTCTGATAGGTTAAGTTTCATCATACAATATTCAACACGATTAAACGATAGTCAACAAGCTAGCAACGGTTACTAATCATTGCAACTGGCATTGGTTAACCTCTTGCCTTAAAAAGAGTCAATAATGTCGTATGATGACATTTTCTGATATGCTAAGTTTCATCATACGGCACTCAACACGATCAAATGATAGTCAACAAGCAATAAATGACCCCCTAGGCTTATTTATTTACCTAAAAAATAGTCAATATGTCGTTTGATAGCATTTTCTGATAGGTTAAGTTTCATCATACAATGTTCAACACGATTAAACGATAGTCAACAAGCTAGCAACGGTTACTAATCATTGCAACTGGCATTGGTTAACCCCTTGCCTTAAAAAGAGTCAATAATGTCGTATGATGACATTTTCTGATATGCTAAGTTTCATCATACGGCACTCAACACGATCAAATGATAGTCAACAAGCAATAAATGACCCCCTAGGCTTATTTATTTACCTAAAAAATAGTCAATATGTCGTTTGATAGCATTTTCTGATAGGTTAAGTTTCATCATACAATATTCAACACGATTAAACGATAGTCAACAAGCTAGCAACGGTTACTAATCATTGCAACTGGCATTGGTTAACCCCTTGCCTTAAAAAGAGTCAATAATGTCGTATGATGATATTTTCTGATAGTCTAAGTTTCATCATACGGCACTCAACACGATCAAATGATAGTCAACAAGCAATAAATGACCCCCTAGGCTTATTTATTTACCTAAAAAATAGTCAATATGTCGTTTGATAGCATTTTCTGATAGGTTAAGTTTCATCATACAATATTCAACACGATTAAACAATAGTCAACAAGCTAGGAATGGTTACTAATCATTGCAACTGGCATTGGTTAACCCCTTGCCTTAAAAAGAGTCAATAATGTCGTATGATGATATTTTCTGATAGTCTAAGTTTCATCATACGGCACTCAACACGATCAAATGATAGTCAACAAGCAATAAATGACCCCCTAGGCTTATTTATTTACCTAAAAAATAGTCAATATGTCGTTTGATAGCATTTTCTGATAGGTTAAGTTTCATCATACAATGTTCAACACGATTAAACGATAGTCAACAAGCTAGCAACGGTTACTAATCATTGCAACTGGCATTAGTTAACCCCTTGCCTTAAAAAGAGTCAATAATGTCGTATGATGACATTTTCTGATATGCTAAGTTTCATCATACGGCACTCAACACGATCAAATGATAGTCAACAAGCAATAAATGACCCCCTAGGCTTATTTATTTACCTAAAAAATAGTCAATATGTCGTTTGATAGCATTTTCTGATAGGTTAAGTTTCATCATACAATATTCAACACGATTAAACGATAGTCAACAAGCTAGCAACGGTTACTAATCATTGCAACTGGCATTGGTTAACCTCTTGCCTTAAAAAGAGTCAATAATGTCGTATGATGACATTTTCTGATATGCTAAGTTTCATCATACGGCACTCAACACGATCAAATGATAGTCAACAAGCAATAAATGACCCCCTAGGCTTATTTATTTACCTAAAAAATAGTCAATATGTCGTTTGATAGCATTTTCTGATAGGTTAAGTTTCATCACATCACACTGAACACGATCAAACGATGATCAACAAACTAGGAACCATGCATAATCATTACAACTGGCATTGGTTAACCCTGTGCCTTGTTTCTATACTTTAGATGAAGTCAATATGTCGTTTGATAGCATTTTCTGACAGGCTAAGTTTCATCATACAATACTCAACACGATCAACAATAGTCAACAAGCTAGAAACGATCGCTAATCATTACAACTACCATTGGTTAACCCCTTGCTTTATTTGTTCACTTTAGAGAAAGTCCATAAGTCGTTTGATAACATTTTCTGACACGTTGAGTTTCATCATACGACACTCAACACCATCATACGACACTCAACCAGCTAGGAACTATCACTAGGCATTACAACTGCCATTGCTTAACCTCTTGCATTGTTTATTTACTAAAGAAAAGTTAATATACAGTTTAATAACGTTTTCTGATAGTTTAAGTTTCATCATATCACACTGAACACGATCAAACGATGATCAACAAACTAGGAACCATGCATAATCATTACAACTGGCATTGGTTAACCCCTTGCCTTGTTTCTATACATTAGAAGAAGTCAATATGTCGTTTGATAGCATTTTCTGACAGGCAAAGTTTCATCATACCATACTCAACACGATCAACAATAGTCAACAAGCTAGGAACGATCGTTAATCATTACAACTACCATTGGTTAACCCCTTGCTTTATTTGTTCACTTTAGAGAAAGTCCATAAGTCGTTTGATAACATTTTCTGACAGGTTGAGTTTCATCATACGACACTCAACACCATCATACGACACTCAACCAGCTAGGAACTATCACTAGGCATTGCAACTCCCATTGCTTAACCTCTTGCATTGTTTATTTACTAAAGAAAAGTTAATATACAGTTTAATTACATTTTCTGATAGGCTAAGTTTCATCATACAGTACTCAACACCATCATATGATAGTCAACAAGCTAGGAACGATCACTAATCATTACACCTACCATTGGCGAACTTCTTGCCTTATTTATTTACCTAAAAAATAGTCAACATCTCGTATGATAACATTTTATGATAGAAACATATTCTCTAAGAGCCATTTTCCACTTTCATAACCCGAAACCCAATTTTTGGCGGTAATTTCTCCCAGAAAAACTGATGTTTGACGATGTTTGAAGAGACATTTTCTCAGAACGAGAAACATTTTCTATTCAAATTTTAGAAAGTACATTTTACCTTTTAACTTGAATTTTGCCCTAATTTGAAGAAATTTTACTCAATTTCTGTATGCATTTTGTGTTTCAGGTAGGTCTAGTAAGCAATAAATTGATTTGTGTTCTGTGCACGAAGGGAAAGTACGTGCGAAGATTCTAGACAGTATGATGATGGCAAACGTACCCCCAGTTATGCTGCCAACCCTAACCGACTATGGAATGCTGACTCCGACCCTCGGAATAAAGGTGAGTCGCGATTGATCCAGTTTCGATTGGCAACACACATCTTTCAGCCAAATTCTTTTCTTAACCGCCCCGCGGTAACTTTGTACCATTCGTGACGATAAATTTTCCACAAAAAAAAAAAAAAAAAAAAAAAATGACTTAGACTCCAAAATCAGCGTAAAAAAAACGAAAGAAAAAAAACTCTGAACGTTAGTCGGTGGTTTTTTTGGGGTAAGTGAACCAACGTCGTACCATTTGTCTAAACTTTCTCTGTCAGTGAACTTGTACCGCACAATGTAACGTATGTCACCTTATTCTGAACTCTAGTGCTTGCTTCTGTCACGGCGAAAATACTGCTGCGACGTGTACGTGTACGTGACGGTGTAATGTTCTCTTATTTCTCGTTATTTTTATTTCAACCCCACCCCTCAAAGAAGGCATGCTTTTCACACGATTTATCCGTGTTTGCTGTTTGTTTCGGTGTGAGCATTTATTCCAGGTGTTCCATGCTTTCTAGAATAAGTTTATCATACTATTTACGCGAGATGTGCCCTGACGAGGTATTAGAACGTAATCTGTAAGATTTTATTTATTTCAATGAGATTCCATCTTGATGTTTGTTTAGTAAGTGTTTTTGGGGGAAAGATACCCTTTTTAAACGTGAATTTTCTGTTAAAAATCCCCTGTTAAGCTTGAGGGAACTTAGACACTTGGAGCAGAGGTGAGATTAGGCTCAAAACACTATTTCCAAGTGGTTTTTTATCAATTTCTAGCCACCACTAGTATCTGTTATAACTGGTAGCAAACCAGAGCTTGCAAAATTGTATAAAAACCTCAAAAATTGTCGAAAATCGCCTGTTGCGTCTGAGGGAACTTGGATGAGCTTGGAGCAAAGGCGAGATTAGACTCAAAACACTGTTTCCAAGTGGTTTTTTATCAATTTTTAGCCACCACTAGTATCTGTTATAACTGGTAGCAAACCAGAGCTTGCAAAATTGTATAAAATCCTCAAAAATTGTCGAAAATCCCCTGTTACATTTGAGGGAACTTGGATGAGCTTGGAGCAGAGGTGAGATTAGACTCAAAACACTGTTTCCAAGTGGTTTTTTCTCAATTTTTAGCCACCACTACTATCTGTTATGACTGGTAGTAAACCAGAGTTTGCAAAATTGTATAAAATCCTCAAAAATTGTCAAAAACCCCTGTTACATCTGAGGAAACTTCGTTGAGTTTGTTGCAAAGGTGAGATTGGACTCAAAACACTGTTTCCAAGTGGTTTTCTATCAATTTCTAGCCACCACTAGTATCTATTATAACTGGTAGTCAACCAGAGTTTGCAAAATTGTATAAAAACCTCAAAAATTGTCGAAAATCCCCTGTTACATCTGAGGGAACTTGGATGAGCTTGGAGCAAAGGTGAGATTTGACTAAAAACACTGTTTCCAAGTGGTTTTTTAGCAATTTCTTGCCCCCACTATTATCTATTGCAACTAGTAGCTAACCAGAGTTTGCAAAATTGTCTGTTGAAGGAGCATCAAAGCTCAGTTTGCAAAAGCTACCTCTTCACCAGTATTTGATGTGTGGACACTTGTTACTTGCGATCATCCTGCCTCACCCAGGTCCTCAACAAGTGTCCTAAATTTCCAAACGATAATAAAATTGTCCTGCAAGCGGGGGTGGATTCGACCCGATCAATAAATAAAACGTAAACAAACCTGTTCGAGGTGAAACCGTCATCGAGTTTAATTCCGCTGAAGATGAAACGATCTTTGAGCAAGAGCTCCCGGGATTTCGCTTAGTTATTACGTTCCTGTGTATCGTCGGTAATCCTGCAAGTTTAAAGACTTAATTCAGTTTTGAAGTTGACGCGTCGTTCAAGGCGCGGAGGGACACGGAAAGAGAATTCGTTTTACGTTTCGCTCTGTTTGAACTCGCCCCGGGAATGGAGCACTGTACCATCTCTCTCCCCATTGGTACATCTACGTTTTGCCTTGCATAACGGCGGGAGGCGCGTCTTTTGAAGCATGTCCGGCTCTTTGACGCGACTGGAGGGAGGGATACGGTGTTGCAGGAAATTTGCAGGTTGAAAGGTTGCAATAAGCACCTCTGAGCTATGGTAGCTCTATTGACACTGTTGCCCTTATAGTGATTTCTTCCGTTTCGATAATCGTTCTCGAGATAAGTAATTTTAACACGTTCAGATCAACACTGTGTAGTAGTCTGCAAAAGTAAAATTTTCAATTTGTTAAAATTCACAAATTCTATCGAAAATTAATTTTTTTCAACGTCTTTATTTGAGAATTTATTTTTCTAAAATCATGTAAATTCTGTCACAAATTCACAAATTTATTTTTTTCAACGTCTTAATTTGAAAAATAATTTTTCCAACATCTTGTAAATTTTGTGACCCATATGTGGGTCACGTGACAGTCAAAGTGTTAAATACAAGGAAATATTAATTAATTTTTTTAATCTAAAGATTGGTTAATTATAACTGTGTTATAAACTTGCGTTAAGATTTGTAAAAGAATTTTGGAACAGGATATCAACTTATAGGTTAGCTTCTAATGTAAATAGTAACTATATACCAAAGATGAGAATCTTCAGTGTCGACTCTCTTAGAACAGCCCCAATATCGTGTATTAAAAATAGTTAAACTTTAAACTCGTGTAGTTTTGAGGTTATTAGTGCTTTATTCAAAATTCAACCGCTGTTAGGAGGGGTAAACCTTCCTCTTTAAAATTGCTTTTGGATTTTTGTCGATCGGATTTACCGTTTTCGAGATATCGTAATTTATGTAAAAAGTAATTTTTTTAATTCGACTATCTCTGTCTCCGTCTGACGCGTCGGACCTCCTTGTCTCTCACGCACGTGAGTCGTGACCTAGTGACGTCACGTTCGCTACTCGCTACGGTCACGTGAGGTCATTGACCTGGCGCGGACGTAAACAATGAAACGTAAACAAACTTATATCTTCGAAACTAGCCACCGCATCGGCTTGAAACTAAAATCCTCATATCTCCGGAACTAATTAAGCTATCCACTCGTACGAACGCTCATTTTAAAAGGCATTTCATCCCCTATCCAATGAACATAACTCCCTTTAGAATTTATGCTGTTTTCTATGTTTTTTTCATACTTATTTCGACATTATACTTTACATTTTTTAAGCATTTACATTAATCTATCAAAAAAATGTTTGAAACGAAAGTTGACAAGTATTTTGAGAAGAACAAAGTGCCAAAATAAAAATTTCGAAAAATTGTTTCCTTCGATAAAAATCTCGAATAATCTTGAGTTTCTTAAATTGCATTATGGAATTATGATTTAATAAGGTCACAATCGACCAGAAAAATAATTCTACGGTTTATTGAACAATGATTTTTGAATGAATATGATACTATTAGTACAGTCTTCGTCTGTTATAACACTATAAATTTTTTATTTAATTGAAAATGGTATACAAAAATTAAATGAAGGAAATTTTGTTATCCCCAGAAGTCGGTCAAGGATCCGTAATTTGTTGAATTATTCTGCATCGGTTGCGAACGCAGGGGCGATAAAATTACATGGAAAGGCGCACACCATAATCAGCGGTAGTGTGAAGTGTGACCTTGATCAAACGTCACGCACGCTTTCCGCCCTAAAAGCAAGGTAAATGCTACGAGATGGCGGCGATAAACGAGACACACTCTGTGTAGGATGTCTTTTCATATAGATGCGATGATGGAAGTTAATAGCAGCAATTTGCTAAGCCCCCTGTCGCCGTTTCCGGTGTCGTTGGCCCCGGGTTTTTGTTCCCTTTGGCCACCTTTTCACCCTGTTTCTCCCGCGAAAAGAAGCCGGGGCATTTCGTCGCTGATAAAAAAAGCTACCCCTCGGGCTGCCTTTCGGATATCGCCTTTCATTCGAGGGCTTTGTATCCCTCCGACGCCTGTTCGACCCCGCGTTTCGGCCGGCTACGCGCAAACCACGAGATATTAATTAAAATTCCACGAGAAATACTTGCGAAGAAGCGATGCTCGCGGATCCGGTGTCTGGTAATGAGTTGGACGGTGATGCATCTAATTTACTGGACGATCCTTCGCGCTCTGGTCGCTGGGAGTGATGAAGGGGATCGATTTTTCATGTGGAATATAATAGAACGTTAAATTACTTCGTGGGGGGGGGGAACTTTAGTTTTTAGCCGTCTCTGGTCGCGTTAAGGAGCATTAATTTGTCAAACTATTTAGGAAATCGACGACGATGCAAACTGGAATAAAAAATGAGGGCACATAAAGTGGGGGGAATTAAATTATTGGAGTATTTTTTTTTAGGAAATTGACTCAATTTTGCATCTGACCGTAGTTATTATTTTTCTTTTTATCCGTACGAATCCAGTCGACTAACAATTTTTAAACAATTTATAATGTTAATCTCTCAAACTTGTTGCATAGTGTGATTAAAAAGAGTAGACTAAGTTAAGGAAAATTAAATTATTACTATTTTATTAAATAGACTCAATTTTGCATTTGACCGTAGTTCTAATCTCGTTGATCTGTAGGAGTTTCAGTTGACTAAGAATTTAATGTTAAACTATATTGATTATAAAAAAATAAGAGAACACAAAGTTAAGAAAAATTAAATTACTAAAGTCCAATTTTACTAAAATACTGAATTTTGCACCTGACCGTAGTTTTTATCTCGTTGATTCGTAGAAAACTCAGTTGACTAACAATTTTATGGCAAACCATATTAAAATCTGATATAGAAAAGCAGGAAGTTAAAGAAAATTAAATTATAACAGTACTTTTTTTTGTAAAATAAATTCCATTTTGCCTGTGACCGTAGTTATTATCTTGTGAATTTCTACAACAATTTTATGTCAAACCATATTAATTTCTTGACTCAACGACAGAAGAAAACACAAAGTTAAGAAAAACTAAACTATTAAAGTCCAGTTTTGCTAAAATATTGAATTTTGCACCTGACCGTAGTTTTCATGTCGTTGATTCCTAGAAAACTCAGTTGAGTAACAATTT